AGTGTAAAATGCTGGTCTCACGGGTCTCACGAAAACAGGCTGGTCTCACATGATCCCAAGTCTATATATATATATATGGAAGTTCAAACGATAATAAGATCAAAATAAGATAACATGAGAATGACCAACTCACATGTAATTTTTCATTGAAATCACATGCGATTATGAACCATGATCAATGTAGGGGTGTGCGGGAGACTTGACCCACGACCAAAGTCAAGTTGTAAGCACATTTGATTTTAATGTAAAATCACATATGATTCGATCGTTTTCTTATTTTGACACTATTCTCATTTGAACCAATTGTCCCCTCCTCTCTTTCTCTCTCTCTCTCTCTCTCTCTCTATATATATATATATATAGAGAGAGAGAGAGAGAGAGAGAGTTAAGGGCGGAGGTTCATGGCAAAACCCCAAAAAAATGAAAAAAACTAAGGAACACTTGGTAATTACTCACCAGAATGGTATGCACATGTACATAAAAATAATTGAAGCTATTTTTTGGTTTTTATGCACGTGTGCATGTGCATCTTACAAAATACTTGTATCCACATGAGCAATTGTGTCTAGATGTATGTTTACCAAAGAGTTTTTCAATTTTTCTTTTTTGAGATTTTTCTGAACCTGACCCGATATAGTTTGATCTTTTAATGACATTGATGTACCTTGTGGGAGGCAATATCATCCACGAGTCTACCAATTATATTTGAATAATGGAAAAGAAGAGGTTTGGTGAGAATCCATTTAAATGAGTCAGGTGTGACTAGATCACCCATGCCAACAAAACTTGATGCTATAAGCATATCAGTTCCGCTGGTTACTAATGCAACCGGCAAGTGCTCGTCTATTGTTGGCATGTACTTGTCAGTAACCCATTTCTCTTCATCCATATAACTCTTAACCATTTTTATCACCTGCATATTCACATGCATGCGTCAAATGTGTTTGATATATTATGTAAAAGTTAATATTACAAATGAAGTATGTATATATATATATATATATATATATATATAAATTCGATGTTGATACTTACAAACTCTTTGGAATAGCTTAGATGATATGCTCTTCCCTCCTTTACCAACGTTTCTTCCATTTCTTTATACATATCCATTAGCTTTTGGTATATCAATTTCATGTAGTCCGGAAGCATTTCTAAGCATGTAATCGACCACCTACGTGTAATCAAGTTAAGAGTTAATTGCTTGATTAATACCATGTGTAATAAGTGTATCAACTAGCTTGAATTCATGATTGTGCCTGGCATGTATAAGTAGACGTATAGTGTATGTATGTGGCTGACTACCTTCGAATTGCTTCAGTAAAACACTCAAGTTCTTCATGAATTCCATAAGCATCATAAGTGTCGTCAATAAGCGTTATCATTGCGAACATTTTTGCTAAGAATATCCGAGAAGAAGAATACTGGGGCTCAAAGTATAAACCTAGTGCCCAAAAGTAGCATTCAACAGTTCTATCTCTGTGGTAAGGTAGGTTGTTGGAGACATCAAAACCTTTCCACCACCTATGATATTTAACACACATGTTAATAGTAGTTTAAGAAAAAAAATCCGATATCTTCAAAATTAAATAGAGAAAAAAAAGAAAAAGCATAAATATATATGATATATATAAGTCTAGTTTCAAACAAGAACAATATCAGTTTACGAGAACAAAGGAAAACATGAAACTATCACATGTGATACTGTATGGGGAAGAAATAATGTGAAAATTGTGTGTGGGGTCCCCATGAACATCATGCGTGTTCCACCATTTTATCCCATGTGATAGTTGTTTATTTAAGGTGTTCTCGCATTCTCGTTAAATTGTATCATTCTTGTTTGAAACGTTCCTAACACACACACATACACACACACACACACACACACATATATATATATATATATATAAATTGATATGTGTGTATGTGTGTATGAAGAGAGAGAGAGAGAGAGAGAGAATGTCGATCATGTAGGAATTTTTTTTTGTAGGAGCCATTTTGTTCGGAGGTTCACATAAGTTAACATCCTCATATACGTTAGATATGTTAACGTGGAAAAGTTAACATACCTTAATAGGAAATGTTAACATATGTGAGGATGTTGTGGACATCCGCTAACAAATTAAATGGTTGTTATTTAAATTTCTACCGAAAACCAACCATATATATAGATAGGGGTGTTCGCGGTCCGGTTTGGGCGGTTTAACCTCTCAGACCATAAACCAAACCGTAATGGCGGTTTATAAAATTTTCAAACCGAGCGGTTTGACATCAAGTGTTCAGACCGGTCAAACCAGACCACAAAAAGGCGGTCTGGT